AGCAGGACCAGTCCAAACATAATCTCTAGAAGTATATAGAGATTGGCCCTAGCATAAAGTCTGAAGGCTTGTTTGTTTATTCATTCTTGCAACCATTCTCCTTGGGGGAGTTTTCCTGGGAGAACTTTGGCTTACACTTTGAAAGGGAACATAGAAGCTGGGTAACTAGTGGAATCTTTTGGTAAAGGTGGGTATAGTTTAGGTAGTGATGGGGTATGGGCCCAAGCTGAGGCCATTGCCCCTCACTCCAAAAACAATTTGGGTCCCATTTGTCTACGGGTCCCAGAAAATCCTTAAACTTCTTTTGAACTCACTTATCTGGTCAAGCAAGTTCATCAAAACTGAAACTCTTCCATGGTCAAATCTTTTTTCCCTCTCTAGGCTTTAGTTTCCTCATCTATGAAGTGAACCTCTAATGTCTTTTCTAGTTCCAGTGTCCTACAATTCTAGCCCAGAGTGGGGAACCTGTAGCTTCAAGGCCACATGTGACCCTCTAGATCCTCAAGTGCAGCCCTTTGACTAAATCCAAATTTCCCAGAACAAATCAAATCCCTTTAATAAAAGAATTTGTTCTGTAAAACTTGGACTCCATCAAAAAGCCGCACCCAAAGACCAAGAAGGCCACAGGTTCCCCACCTATTCTAGCCCTTAACCACTGAATGGGCATTGCCTCAGACAAACTGAGACCTTGGAAAGACCTTAGTTTAAAAAGGCCAAGGTGTCCCACTACATCCTGGGCCATGCCAGTCATCTTGACTTACGTCTTACCACTGTACTACAATGACTCTGGAGGACTAAGGCTGATGACTTTGTGCAGCTCTGCCTCACTTAAATCACTAACAAGTCAAGACATAATCCTGGAGGTGTCATTGATCCTCTTCTAGAATGAAAGACCAATAACAACATTCTAAAATTCTATGAAATTTCAGAAGGAAGGGAAAATGTGGCATTAAGAAAGTAAGGAAGATGAGAAATCAGCCTGGAAAGGTAGGCTGGAACCAGAGATGGTTTTATCCTAGAAACAATTCATGAGCAAGGGGGAAGTAATATGGTCATATTTGTGCTTTAGAAAATTTATTTTGGCAATTATGTGGAGAATAGAGATGGGAGAGACTGAAATCCAAAACTCCAATTAGTAAAGCAATCCAGATGAGAGGTCTTTAGTATTTTGCTAGCCACATGACAAGAAGATGGACATGAGGGTGTTGTGAAGGTATGATCAACAAAAAATTGGCAATTGGTTGAATGGAGGGAGGGGTGAAAAAGACAAGAGTTGAGGATGACTGAGATTACAAACCTAGCTAACTGGAAAGATGGTGGTGTCCTCAACAGAAATAAGGAATCTTAAAGGCGGGGTAAATTTTAGAGGAAACACCATGAGTTCTGTTTTTGATAAGCTGAATTTGAGATATCTTTGGAACAGCTAGGTAGAGATATCTAGCAAGTAGCTGGCAATATAAGATTAAATTCAGTAATAGCATCATTTCATCAGAGTTGCCACAGGCAACTGTGTACAGGATGAATTATAGGGAGAAGAGGGATGTTGTTCACAAATAAGATAAATAGTCCAGTCAGTCACCAAGAATTGTTTAAGCACCTCTTACGTGTCAGCTGCTATGCAAAGCTCAGGAGATACAAAGGCAAAAGATAGTTCCTGATCTCAAAGAATTCAGTCCAGTGGAAGAGACAACATGCAAACTATGTCATCTACATTTTCATCCAAGTCCTTTTGAAAAGCACAGGTGAAGTAAGAAGCAAGGTCAGGGGAAACTGACACATTAACCAATACCCTTCTGACTGTTCAACCTTCTATGAATCCACCTATCTATCATATGGCCCATAGCCCTACATCTTTAGCTCCAATACTATTAGTTAGAAGGTTATCATCCTATGGAATCCAAAGCTTAGAAAGGTTAAGTACACCAAGATACTGAGCTATGGTAGCAAATGGCCTGTTGTAATCAACATTTATAATGTCGATATTACATCCGTGACTGAAGAAAATAACACCTTAAAAAATAAACTAACCCAAATGGCAAAAGAGACCCAAAAAGCCAATGAAGAGAAAAATGCCTTAAAAAGCAGAATTGGCCAAATACAAAAGGAGGTCCAAAAGCTCCCTGAAGAAAATAATTCTTTAAAAATTAGAATGGAGCAACTGGAAGCTAATGACTCTATGGGAAATCAAGAAATTATAAAATAAAACCAAAAGAATGAAAAAAATAGAAGACAATGTGAAATATCTCACTGGAAAAACAACTGACCTAGAAAATAGATCCAAAAGAGATAATTTAAAAGTTATTGGACTATCTGAAAGCCATGATCAAAAAAAGAGCCTAGATATCATCTTTCAAGAAGTTATCAAGAAAAACTGTCCTGATATTCTCAAACCAGAGGGCAAAACAGAAATTGAAAGAACCTACTGATCACTTCCTGAAAGAGATCCCAAAAGGAGAACTCCTAGGAATATTATAGCGAAATTACAGAGTTCCCAGGTCAATGAGAAAAGATTGCAAGCCGGCAGAGAGAAATAATTCAAGTATTGTGGAAACACAATCAGAATAACAGAAGATTTAGCAGCTTCTACGTTAAGTGATCAGAGGGCTTGGAATATGATATTCTAGAGGTCAAAGGAGCTAGGATTAAAACCAAGAAACACCTACCCAGAAAAACTGAGTATAATCCTTCAGGGGGGAAAATGGACATTCAATGAAATAGAGGACTTACAAGCATTCTTGATGAAAAGACCAGAGCTGAATAGAAAATTTTACATTCAAATACAAGACTCAAAAGAAGCATGAAAAGGTAAACATGAAAGAGAACTCATAAGGGATTTATTAAAGTTGAATTGTTTATATTCCTAAATGGAAAGATAATGTTTGTAGCTAATGAGACCTTTCTCAGTATTAAGTTGGAGGGAATATGTATACACACATATATATGTGTACGTTATGTATACATATATATATGTGTGTATGTATGTGTGTGTGTATATATATGTGTATATATATATATACATATATATACACATATATATACAGGGCACAGGGTGAGTTGAAGACGAAGGGTTGATATCTGGAGAATAAAATTAAGGGGTGAGAGGATTGTACTGGGAGAAAGAGAAAGGGAGAGGTAAAATGGGGTAAATTATCTCACATAAAAGAAGCAAGAAAAAACTTTCACAATGGAGGGGAAGAAGTGAGAGGGAATGAGTGAATCTTACTCTCATCAGATTTGGCTTAAGGGGGGAATAACATATAAACTCAATTGGGTATGGACATCTATCTTACCCTACAGGAAAATAGGTGGAAAGAGGATAAGGGGGGTGGGGTTATAGAAGGGAGGGCAGATTGGAGGTGGAGTAATCAGAAGCAACACTTTTGAGGAGGGATAGAGTAAAAGGAGAGAATAGAATAAATGGGAGAGTGGGATAGGATGGAGGGAAATAAAGTTAGTCTTTCACAACATGACTATTATGGATGTGTTTTGCCTGACTACACACGTATAACCCGTATACAATTGCTTGCTCTCTCAGTGAGGGTTGGTGGGGAGGGAGGGAGAGAATTTGGAACTCACAAGTTTTTAAAACTAATGTTAAAAATAATTTTTACATGCAACTGGGAAACAAGATATACAGACAAGGGGGTATAGAAATTTATTCTGCCCTACAGGAAAAATAGAAGGGGAATGGGATAAGAGAAGTGGGGGAGGGTGATAGAAGAGAGGTCAGATTGTGGGAAGGGGTATGCAGAATGCACACAGTTTTGGGGTGGGGGGAGAGAGATGGGGAGAAAAATTGGAACTCAAAATCTTGTGGAAGTGAATGTTGAAAACTAAAAATAATTTTTAAATGTCTTCCTAAATATCCCCCCAAAATATTGTCTGTGAATGTATTATATGTATATATATATGTATATATAATATAGTCTTGATATTTTAAGACGTGAAACCTTACAAACTGACAGATGAATCCTAACTATGTATGGTGACATACCATTCTCTCAGTACCTCTGTATATACTACATAATGTTAGTATATAATGTTGCCCTCTATCAGATTCTTTGGTCTCCATAGTTTTATGCTTATTTTCCTGGCACCATAGATACTAGGCTAAGGCCTGGGTTATAATCTTGCCCAAGACAATCCATATGGTCACAAAATTTATGCCCATCTACCCAGTTCACTAAGTGGCCCTGAGGCTTAAATGAAACAACGTATGTAAAGTGCTTCTGCAAACTTTATAGTGCTATAGAAATGTCAGTTACTGCTATTATTATTCTCCAATTATATTGTAAGCTCCTTGGAGGGGAGGGACCTGTCATATTTCTTTTGTATCTCACAGCACACCACATAGTAGGGCCCCAGTTTCTGCACCTGTAAAACGAAGGGGTTGCCCAGATCATCCCTAAGGTCCCTTCCATTTCTAAATCTATAATCCTAGTATCCTAGGTGCAACTGGGACCCAATGGACATCTTCTCCATAGCTGAAGGTCCTGGTCCCCGCTATCCTTTTTGCAAGTGTCTTGAACGATGCTTGCTCGTCGTGCCTGCTACTCCCCACTCCGACCCATCCTCACTCCCTCCCATCCCTCCTTGTTTGCCTTTCCCTCGACTGGTGCCCTCAACAACCGACCCCGCCATTACCCTTCCCTTCTCGAGGTCATACGGCCTCTCTTCTAGTAGAAAGAGCGCTGCTTTTGGAATTTGAAGACCTGAGTTCAAATTCCCGGTATTTGTGTGACCCTGGACAAGTTACTTAATCTCTCTGGGCCTCAGTTTCCTCATCTGTAAAATGAGAGAGTTGGTTTGAAGGGCCCCCGAGGTCCCTTCTGGCTCCAAATAAAAGAACAACAGCCTCCCCTTCCCCCCCCCAAAGGGCTCTGGCCCAAGCCCCTCCCTGTCCCGCCTCCTTTCCTTGCCCCTTCCTCTTTGCGCAATGGCTCCGCCCACCTTCCCCTCCCCTCTCAGCCACATCTCCGCCTGCGCGCGCAGGGTCCTACCTTTCGTCCTTCTTTAGCCCCAGCCTGGGTGAGCCACCTCGGGCCGGGGCTTGGCCTCTCGCTTCCCGCCCCGGGAGTGGGGGGGCGGGAAAACCGCCAACACCGCCTCACAGCCACATGGGAGGCTGTTTCAAACCAAGTTGGGCGAGGTGGGGTGGGGCCTGGCTGGCCGAGACAGAACTAGAAGCCCTGGGCTGGCCGGCCGCTAATCCGCTGAAGCTATGGGTGGAGGCAGCCGTTGCCCTGGGTTACCGGCCACGCGGAGAGGCTCGGCGGAGGTGGACTGAGAAAGTGATGTTTGACAAAATCGGTTTCTCGCGAGAAGATCGGCGCGGGGTCGAGGAGCGGAGAGAGGCCTTAGCAGTAACAGGCGCGTGATGGGCCGTTTGGGCATTTGAGGGTTGAGGAGCTACTGAGCTGAAGAGAGCTGGGAGGCACCGCTACCTCGCAACAGACCCTGGGGGGCAAGAGGCCCGTCATTGCCCCGCCCGGGCCTCCGGGTAACGGGGTGTAGGGCCCCTGTCGGTGTCCGAAGCGAGCCCGGACCCGGACCCTGCCCCCGGTTGCTGTGGGAGGCTCCGCCCGAAACGGGGCTTGGTCCGGATGCGGGGTCGGGGGACCCGGGCCTTGCGGAGGGGCGGCCTCGCGTTCTGGCCGCCCTTTTGGGCCCGCGGTCGATGCAGCAGCAGGAAGGTATTGAACCCTCTCTTTGTGCAAGCTCGGCGCCGGGGACAGAGATTTTAAAAAACAAAACAAAAACCGACGCAGCCTCTGCTGTCACGGAGCTTCCATTCCGTTAGTGGAACCCGAACAAGTCCACAGACGGATGCCTCAGAGAGTGTGATGTAGGCAAAGGATGCACTTGAGCTTCCGAGCTGAAACCTCAGCCTGGAAATCCCGAGAGTGGGACTGTGGCTTGTTGGCGTTTGTATGCAGAGTCCTTAACGGGTTTACTAAATTAGTTGTCCATTTGTGGTGCAGTGGGAAGTGCTGCACGTGACTGAGGACCTGTGTGACCTTGGGCACGTCACGATTTCTTGGTCAGTTTTCTCAAACGTAAAATGAAGGGGTTGGATTAGATAACCTCTAAGGTCCTTACCACCACAGTGGGCCTATAGAAGTGGATGCTGTGTGCTTAATATAAATTTTTTATTGATTTAAAGTTCATTGAAATTTAAGGTTAGGAATTCAACTTCAATTAGGTTTTTCTTTTGAAGTAATAAAACATTTCTATGCCACTAAAGTTTATAAAGTGCTTTCCTCACAACAACTCTGTGAGGTAGACAGTACAGGTATTATTATCTTCATTTTACACATGAGGAAACAGGTCAGTGAAATGACTTGCCCAGCCAGGTTTACACAACTACTAAGTGTGGCAGCTATAACCTTGTCCCAATCGGTAATCCTGTGCTTTCAGTCTTGACTCTAGTTAATTTCAACCAGATACTGTCTGCTCTTGGATGACATCTCCCCCTTGTCCTACTTCACCCCTTGCCAATCCTATACCACTCAAATTCTTTCCTACTCCAGAACCACTGAATCTCATTAGAGGAAGTCACCTAATCCGATCAGTTCCACAACTTCAACTGGGCAATTGATGGAACCTGACAAGCCTTTTATTCTTTTCTGATCAATTATCTAAATTAGTGCTGTTTTATCCATAGGGAATAATTTGGAATGGGGAGATAATTCAATCTTGCATATTTATTTCCCATATTTAGTGACAATTGTCTCTCTTAAGTGGGTGTTTTTTTTGTGGTAACCAATCAGCATCCACCCTGGAAAAGGGAAACGAAAACTTCAAAATAAAACTTGTCTCCAAATGAGATTTATTGAAGGTTTATCCTCTACTGCAGACAGGTATCAAGAGGCTCCTGAAAGTTTTGGGGTCTGGGGTAAGAGGTGGTCATTCATGAGCTTGCTTAGGGAGAGAGCCATCAATGTGGCTTTCCATTTCTTTATATGGAACAAGTCCCATCTCTTTATATGTCTGATGTTTCACCAGTTTTCTTGACTTGCAGGGCAGTAAACTGATGGGGAAGAAAGGTATTACCTTGGTACCCTGATGTATGCATTTGAATCCTTGAGTGTTTTTCATTAGTTGAGTAGGCAAAGGAGGGAAAAAGGAAGTGGAGAAATCTATACATCTCATAGCTAACTAAATTTATTGGCCTGTTCTCATAGAGATGAGGACCTGCTCTCAGGGTCTTCACTAGACTCACAGCCCAAGAGCTTACTCTTCTGCACCAGTGAGTCATGGGCTCATAAGAAGCCTTAAAGAAATAAAAGTGCCATAAAGTTTATTCAAGGTTTGAATCTCTAATTTAACTTCTAAATCTCCTGAGCCAGGGTCTAAATAAATACTGAAGTGTAGTGAACAGATTGATTTTACTAAAGACCTTGTCATATATTGAAATCTTTACCTATGAGAAAGCTGATAGTAACTGAAGCTTACTTGCCCCAACTTTGCTCAGAAAAGTTAGGCCATATTTTATGTACATCTTCATCTTTCTGGTTCTATACTTCAAAACTTCTTAGAGAACTAGCATGGTGTCATGGAAAGAATGCTGCACCTGGAGTCAGAGAAAGTTGGGTTGTGGTTTGAACCACACTTTTGACATCACCTTCTTGTATGACCATGGGACTAGTTCACTTAACAGCCCAGCTTTAATTTTCTCATTGTAAAATAAGGATAAGATACCTGGTACCTTGAAGAGTAGTCAGGAGTGTACTAAATTAGATGGTCTATGTAAATCATTTACAGGCCTTAAAATGGTATATAAATTAGTTATTAATCTAAGCCTCATTTTCCTCATTGTAAAAAAGGAATAATGATATAAGTACTTAACGTGGCTGTTGTAAGGAGCAAATTAGATAACATATAAAGAGCTTTGCACCTTAAAGATTATATAAACATCACCTATTTTTATATCTTTACTTATTCTTTTCTCTGGTATCAGAAGAGGAAGACTCTTACCCTTGCTGAGGCTAATCTGGCTTCTTATGCTCTTGACCCATCCATTCTCGTTTTCTGGATGGATAATCCACATTTGACTTCTTTGATGTTGTTTCCTGTTCTTCTGTTTTGTCTTTCCTCTTTGGTCTTTATTGCTAGTTTACCTATCCATCTCTGTTACATCCTGAACTTAGTTCCCCAAGATTCAATCCCAATCCCTCTTTTTTTTAATCTCTATATTGTCTCCTCTTGGTGACCTTTTGTTTCTAGGGGATCTCTATTGTCATCTCTATGCATATAACCCCCAAAACTAGTACTCATCTTTAATACTCCATTACCCCATCTCTATTTGTTGGTATCATTTGGAAATCTGGCCACCGTGTCACACACATAGCATGTTCTAGTTATAATTCAAGTTTCTAGCTGCTGAAAGGGTACAAGTGCTAACCATCAGTGCATTCAAAATTTTGATTCTCTAAGACAAAGCCCTGTTGTCCAGCTGATAGTGTGCTATGCTTACTTCTGTACTCTACATTCTAGTCAAACTGAAATGCATGTTCTCTAATAGCAAGGATAATTTCATTTTTGTTTTTTAATACCTATTACCCACAATAGGTATTAGAATAAATGTTTAATTGGCTACTTGCTGTTCTCAGAATTCAATACGCCACATACAGCTGTTTTCATTCCTTTATGCCTAGAGTGCCCTTTTGGTCTCATTTCTGCTTTTGACAATCATCTTCTTGTAAGGATGAATCAGTTTAGAATCAGTTAATGAGCCACCTACACAGATTCTCCTTAATCCTCAAGTTGATAACATAGTCTCTCTTCTCAGTTTCCTAGAACTTAGTTTGTCCCATTATTCCTACCTTCTTATATTTGCCTTTAGTCATGTAGAAGTAGACGCAGAAAAGTTGCAGAGAAGCGGATTTATTTCAGCTCAATGTAAGGAAAAGTTTTTTAAAAATTAAAGGTATCCAAAAGTGAAATGGACTGCCTTTGGAAGCAGTGATCTCCCCTCACAAGAGGTCTTCAACAAAGGCAGCGTGGCACTTGCTGAGGATGTTATAGAGGGGATTTTTGTTTAGATAAGAGTAGACCTAGGTGGCCTGAGGTCCCTTCCAGCTCTGAAATTCTGTAGGTAATGCCAAGTAAAAACTACAAAAGTAAAATAGATAACCAATCTTGAGTGCTGTGAACTCCTTACTTTGTTCCTGGTGGGCTTAAAGGTTTCCTAAATACATTGAATTGAACATAGAAGAGTCCTTAAAGTTTACTCAATCCATTGCATTTAAATAATGCCCTAATTCCTGTGACAGGGACCTCATTTCATAAGGTAGGCCTCCCATTCCATTTTTAGGAAGTTCCAAGGAAAGAAAACACAGAGGACTTTACCCACAATTTCTAAATGCCCAGCTACAAGTCTTTAGAGTAGAAGTTACTTATGTCTTGGTTCCTAAAGAGTGTGGGTACTGAAGTTCTTTACCAAATATAAGGAGAAAACATTAGCATAAATAATTCTAATTCTCCACTGCCTTGAACAAATTTGAAAGGCTTTCAGTTTACAGTATGCCTGAAAACTCCAACACTAGGGGGAGGTAGTACCAGGCTTAAATTCCACATTCCAGAAGCAGAGTTGCTGTCTTGTTGCTCTTAACTCCACGATTTACTCTCCAAAGGAGGGAGGATAGAAGTAGTCAAGGAGCATATAGCTTTTAAGGGTGACAAGACATTCGTTATTAAGCTTCTACCCTGGCATGACTTGAATTTGGAGGTCCATTGGTATACACAACATAAGCAGTTAATGTATTTCTCACCAACCAGTCTAATTTTTATGCCAGTCACTTAAAAATATTCACATCCTTCCTCTAAAGAATCTTAATAAAGAAAAAAGTTAAGCAAAATTCAATTTAATATACAACATAAAGAAAACAAGTGCATGGTAATCTGAGTAAGAGATATTTTATCATGTTCTCTGGAACCAAGATTGATCATTACATTTAATTTGAATTCAGATGTATTAGACTTTTTTTTTTCCATTTAAATTAATGTAGTCAAGGGGCAGCTAAGTGGGGCAGTGGATAGAGCACTGGCCCTGGAGTCAAGAGGACCTGAGTTCCAATTCCA